TGCTTTGATGATGTTAAATGACGCATATTCAACTTGTGCTCAAGGTTAAAAAGATTGGTGATGTGTATGAAAACAAAAAAACGAAGCAAGAAGGTTAGACAATGTCGGTTTTTTCAGGGAACTGATGACACGATTAATATGGTCATTGATAACCATGAGTCTGAATGATCAGCAAGAATAGGGAAAGTTATCACAAGGCCAAATCATCTTATATGTCATTGTGGCGAATTTCCACGTAAATATGGCTGTTGAAATATGGCTGTTGGAATATGGCTGTTGAAATATGGCTGTTGAAATATGGCTGTTGGAATATGGTGATTTACTGCTTTTATATTGCCAGCACAGCGCTTTAAAGGGTGACAGATTGAATTTCATTGTGGCAAGCGCTCAGGCAGTGGCCTCATTGAAATGAATGTGCTGCTTTTTAACAGAGAGCTTAAGTGTGAAATATGAACGTTGCCCAAGAAGCCTGGCACATGGTGTGTGTTGTCGTTTTAACCTGGAGAAGATGTTTAGATACAGTGATTGCAGTTTGTTGTCCCATTGAGAATGTGTGCCTTTGTGTATGTTTGCTGTTTACTCAGGAGGAACATTGTTGTTTGTCGGCTTCTCTCTCTGCTACACTGCTCCAAGGCCTCCTCCCTCTCAAGCATGCTATTTTTTTAAACCCACTGCGAGGTGTACAGCTTGAGCTCAAAAAATGACACTTGTTAAAGCAAGACTAGTGGAAAGTTACGCCTCATTTACGAAGAGCTACTGAGAGTCTTTGACGCGTGAATTTCCCAGAAACCGCTCTTTATTTGATACCGGTTGTCATAGTGAAGTATAAGTCAACATCTTTTACTCTGTAGTGTGTTATTTTAGATGATTTAACATGGAATACATCCCTCACAAATGTTAAACCGCAAAAGGTAACTTTACTATCAACACTTCAGAAAGCTTTTTTAATGATCCCTTCATTACAAAATGGTATCATTGATTGTTAGCTGCTATAAAAAACGATTTACAATGTATGATTCAATATTAAGTTGCTGCAGATGTTACGTTTTTACATTTTCTCTGGCTCTTAAATATCACATTAGACAATAGATGTAGTCAATGCGGACGACGAAAGGGGGACAAATTGCTTTGTCTTTGTTTCTAAAGAGGGAAGAATCAATATACTTTTGTTGTATAATATATGGGATTCTGAAACTGTTCAGTCAACATTCAGAGGCAAAAGGTTGCTGGATTACATTTTTCGAACTGAATCCATTTTACAAGCTTCCTGCCCTGAATCTTTTTCTCCAAGTAACTCTAATTGCTCTTTAGCCTAGAGCAGCCATGCAAACTGTGGACTTCTGCGAGGCTGCATCTGTCAGCTGACAGGTGTCCGGCGTCCGCTCTGCTTTATTTGTTGGTGGACTGATGTCTGGTTCAGCTCAGACTCAGCGATAAGGCAGAGACTACCTGTAAATGTCAATGCATTGATAAGGATAGGAAGTTAATCTGAGCTGCTGTGTGCACAGACAGCCTCTGTAAGTGAAAAAAAAGTTCTACTTTATCAAGTGTACACATTGCCTTGCTAGATTGGGTGTTTCTCTTTGTGGCAAGTTAAGTCGGTAAAGTTTATCGAGGTCAAACAGACCATTTCCTCCTCTCAGATATGGACTGATTTGGTGTTTACAGTTGAACCTCTCTAATCCAAACTCTTTGTTCAAAGTGTTGAAACATGAAGATTATAGAGAGTCGGTGTACTTGCAAATCTAAAATCAACAGAGCCACTGGACACTTACCTTGGTGCTAATCTGAAAAGTATACTCTTGGTTGGATGTGTCCTCATTGTAATGGTTCAAAGAAAAGTTTGACATTGTGGGAAATGAGCGTATTGTTTTGCAGCGAATTATATATTAGATACAATGTGCATCTCCTTATTGTAAAGGGAAGTAGTCGGTAAGGTTAGCTTAGCATAAAGACTGAAAACTTAAGGAAACAGCTAGCCTGACTATTTCAGGGCTAACCAAAGTCAACCCATTAGCACTTTTCAAGCTTATTAATAAATGAAAAAAGAAAGAAAACGTGTTTTGACGTGTATTGATTCGATTGATTAAGAAGAAATAACATGTTTTAGAGGTGCTGGAAGTAAGATTATGTTAACTTTGAAATAAGTCATTATCTGCAGACCTTATATTGCATCTTAAGGGACTCATGGCTTGTGCGTATAACCATTTACTCACTTAACAAGTCAGGTGAAAGTGTTTTCATTATAAGTATGTCTTTGAAATCTATGTTCAATTGGCCGGAGGGGAGTTGGAGCTTCATTGGGAATACGTAAGTCGTTAAGCATTTCCTCACAGGTCCATGCATGTGTGCGCAGTGTTCTGTTACATGCTCAATTGCTGCCTCTAATGTATGCATAATCAATGAATCAGTGAATGCTTGCATACATTTGTAAAACATATCCACTCATGCATGCATGTATGTGTGGCCTCTATCTCATTAGTGTCCTTTGTCACCATTTGATCTGTGGCCTGCCTTCTTTTGGGCCATTGTGCTCATATCGCCAATGCATAAAGACCTGTGGACCGGTGAATTGGTTTGCAAGGGATAGAAGA